TTCTTGTTATCTCTTGTTTTCCATTCATTAATTCAATATCTAAATGTCATGTTAGATGTAATTCAAATTTGATTTTTGAAAAGTCCATAATGTAACAAAGTAAGGAACATGTAATATAATAAGGCTGGATCATCAAATGAGATCAGTATTTCTTCCATATCAAATTAAATTAAAGAAGTTGCATTGAACAATGACATTTTTCCCAAACACGTCTGTCTGGACCTGAATTTGATGCTAACATGAGCTTCTACCAATCCAGGGGTATAAACCACGACATGAGCATTGTCATTAATCAATGGAAACCTCCTTATCATCTGTACTGTGTCAACGTTACGAGGCAGCCATACAACTCCATATGGAACACACACCCTATTCCCTGTATAGTGTAATACTTTTGACCAGAGCCCTATGGGCCTTGGTCAAAAGTTGTGCTCTTTTTAGGGAATATGGTGCCATTTTGGAAGTATACATTGTAAAACTATGTTCTCTAGTCGCCCCATTCCTTTAGCAGGTTTATGGAAGGCTCTGGCCTAAAGGTGACCTCCACCAGAATCAGCACAACTATCACTCATGTACTTTTAAAGCCATTGAAGACTCTATGCTCACATTACTCAGAGCGTCAGATATCTAGCCTAGTAGCCTGGTCTAGTTTTGCTTCAGCCAACATGTCACTTGACAATGAGGAAAAAGCAGAAAGGTAGCACCCAGGCTAACAACTATCTCTTCCATTTATTTTATTAAATATTTTATAAAAGCTTACAAAAACGTGACAGACCTTAAAATCCAGAGCAGACAATGGTATAGTGGTAATACATTTCCTACTCCTTTATTTCCTCATAAAAATCCTTGACATTATGTACTATATTTACAAACTTTGTACAAAAGTGATTAAACAGTGGGTATAGAAAGTCATCACCCCCTTTCAAAATGTTCACCTTTTCTTGCCTTACAGCCTGAAATGAAAACACATAAAATCTGACTTCTTCCGGCTTTATTTACACACAGTAACCCACAATATCCAAGTGAGAACCCCCCCCCCCCCCGAAAAAACTCTGAAAATGAATTACAATTAAAACAGTAAAATACCCTATTTGGATAAGTGAACACCCCCCCTTAGAATTGCAATTGCAAACTTGCTGAGGTATAACCAACCACCTTACAGATCAAAAATCAAGCTAATTGGCTTCCATCTGTGATCAATTGTAGTGACTTTGATTAGTTCAGAATAAAAGCAGTTGTTCATAGAGGACTCCACTGCTTAGTAGTGCAATTCAAAGCAAAGACTCCACTATGGGCGGAAAGGTACTGTCAAAAGATCTACGAGATAATGTTGTGGAAAGGCACAAGTCGGGATGGATATAAAAATATTTCAAAGGCTTTGTCTATCCCTTGGAGCACAGTTAAAACCATTATTAAGAAGTGGAAGGAGTATGGCACCACCCAGACCCTGCATAGATCCAAACTGGATGACCGGGCAAGGAGGAGACTGATCAGAGAGGCTACCAAGAAGCCAATGGTGAGTTTGAAGGAGCTTCAGGCCTTTATGGCAAAGACAGGTCAATGTGTGCATGTGACCACAATATCACAAGCGCTCCACAAATCTGGCCTCTATGGGAGGGTGGCAAGAAAAAACCACTCCTCAAAAAAGGCAACATCAAGTCTCGTTTGAGCTTTGCCAAAAAGCACATTGTAGATTCCGAAGCCAAGTGGCAAAAGGTGCTGTGGTCAGATGAGATCAAAATTGAACTTTTTGGCCTGAACGCAAAACGATATGTCTGGCGAAAACCCAATACATCTTTCCACCCAAAGAACACCATGCCTACAGTAAAGCACGGCGGTGGCAGCATCCTGTTGTGGGGGTATTTCTCTTCAGCAGGGACTGTCAGGATAGAAGGGAAAATGGACAGTGTAAAATACCAACAGATTCTTGAGGAGAACCTGCAGCCCTCTGCCAGGAAGTTAAAAATGGGAAGATGGTTCATGTTTCAACATGACAATGACCCAAAGCACACCGCCAAAGCAACCATACAGTGGCTGAAGGACACGAAGGTGAATGTCCTTGAGTGGCCTAGTCAGAGCCCCGACCTAAATCCCATCGAGAATCTGTGGAATGACTTGAAGAGTGCAATCCATGAGCGGTCACCATGCAATTTGACTGAGCTTCAACAATTCTGCAAAAAAGAATGGGCAAATATTGCACAGTCTAGGTGGGCAAAGTTAGTAGAGACGTATTCAGAGAGACTCATGGCTGTAATTCAAGCAAAAGGTGTTTCCACCAAGTATTACCTCAGGGGGGTGTTCACTTATCCAAATAGGGTATTTTACTGTTTTAATTGTAATTAATTTTCAGTTTTTAAAATTTTATTTTTCACTTGGATATTGTGGGTTACAGTATGTAAATAAAGCCGGAAAAAGTCTGATTTGATGTGTTTTCATTTCAGGCTGTAAGGCAACAAAAGGTGAACATTTTGAAAGGGGGTGGTGACTTTCTATACCCACTGTAATACCTCTCTCAAGCCCAACCAGGACACACACACACACACACACACACACACACACATTGAATAACTCAAAATGTTTCTTTTTTGGTCTCTTCAGGACCATGTCATCATACAATGGTGTTTCTTGACTGTGGTCAATCAGACCATGCCTCTTCAAAAGCGTCCATTACAGTTGTACTGTCAACACCCAACTGGTCCTTCCAGCGTAGGAGGTGCTTGTAAAGGAAGGTGTGGATGGGATAAACCTTTTGGAAAGTTCACGATGGTGTCTATTCTCAAACAACATCGGCATTCACATGTCATTTAGCTGTGAACTGATGGGCTCACAGACAGAACAGAAGTCTCAAACCAGACTTGAGCTCTCTTGGTTGAGAGAAACGTTGTTGTAGAAGAATGTCCATTGATTCCTCCCAACACATGACTGTCTCCCATAGTGCAAAACCTTGAAATCAAGTCGTTAGTGACATCTGCTTAAAAGTACCTATGTGGGCATTGCTTTCCTAATGGCAAAAATACATCATACAGTGTATTCAAAGCACTTTCTTTGGTAGAAAATAAATGATTATTTCATACCTCAATAATCTTAGAAAACATTCTCAAAGGAGACCATAAAAGGACTTCAAATGTCAGATCTATGTATGGATACACTGGTCTAGGAATCTATTGAATTACAGTACCGGTCAAAAGTTTGGACACACCTATTCATTCAAGGGTTTTTCTTTATTTTTACTATTTTCTACATTGTAGAATAATAGTGAAGACATCAAAACTATATAAAAGAGTGTTAAACAAATCAAAATATATTTTATATTTGAGATTCTTCAAATAGACACCCTTTGCACACTCTTGGCATTCCCTCAACCAGCTTAACCTGGAATGCTTTTCCAACATTCTTGATGGAGTTCCCACATATGCTGAGCACTTCTTGGCTGCTTTTCCTTCACTCTGCCATCCAACTCATCCCAAAACATCTCAATTGGGTTGAGGTCAGGGGATTTTGGAGGCCAGGTCATCTGATGCAGCACTCCATCATTCTCCTTCTTGGTAAAATAGCCCTTACACAGCCTGGAGGTGTGTTGGGTCATTGTCCTGTTGAAAAACAAATGATAGTCCCACTAAGCCCAAACCAGATGGTGTGGTAGCCATGCTGGTTAAGTGTGCCTTGAATTCTAAATAAATCACAGAGAGTGTCACCAGCAAAGCACCCCCACACCATAACACCTCCTCCATGCTTTATGGTGGGAAATACACAAGTGGCGATCATCCATTCACCCACACTGCGTCTCACAAAGACACGGCGGTTGGAACCAAAAATCTCCAATTTGGTTTCCAGACCAAAGGACACATTTCCACCGGTCTAATGTCCATTGCTCATGTTTCTTGGCCCAAGCAGGTCTCTTCTTCTTATTGGTGTCCTTTAGTAGTGGTTTCTTTGCAGCAATTAGACCACGAAGGCCTGATTCACACAGTCTCCTCTGAACAGTTGATGTTGAGATGTGTCTGTGAAGCATTTATTTGGGCTGCAATTTCTGAGGCTAGTAACTCTAATGAACTTATCTTCTGCAGCAGAGGTAACTCTGGGTCTTCCATTCCTGTGGCGGTCCTCATGAGAGCCAGTTTCACCATAGCGCTTGATGGCTTTTGCGACTGCACTTGAAGAAACTTTCAAAGTTCTTGAAATGTTCCGGATTGACTGACCTTCATTTCTTAACGTAATGATGGACTGTCATTTCTCTTTGCTTATTTGAGCTGTTCTTGCCATAATATGGACTTGGTCTTTTACCAAATAGGGCTGTATACCTCCCCTACCTTGTCACAACACAACTGATTGGCTCAAACACATTAAGAAGGAAAGAAATTCCACAAATTAACTTTTAAGAAGGCACACCTGTTAATTAAAATACATTCCAGGTGACTACCTCATGAAGCTGGTTGAGAGAATGCCAAGTGTGCAAAGCTGTCATCAAGGCAAAGGGTGGCTTTTTGAAGAATCTCAAATATAAAATATATTTTGATTTGTTTAACACTTTTTCTGGTTACTACATGATTCCATATGTGTTATTTCATAGTTTTGATGTCTTCACTATTATTCTACAATATAGAAAATAGTAAAACAAATAAAGAAAAACCCTTGAATGAGAAGGTGTGTCCAAACATTTGACTGATAGTGTAGATGTAAGACAAACAGTTGATAAGCTGTCTGTTTAGCAAACGAATTCTCAGTGAATCTGTGATATAGCAACAAAAAAAAGTCTCAATTGCCTCACATTTTCTCAACCCAATTGCTTTGAATGGCTGAAATAAATAGAAAATAACAAACAACGTCCTTCCCCTTTACCACTAGGGGGTTGGAGCATATAATTAGTCTCTCTAGACAGTACAATACAGCCGTTAGTTGGTTTCCGGATTTGACCCACAAGATGGCCGCCCGAAGAACACAGTGTTAGGGCAAAGAGGAGAGTTTGAGTCTGCGTGAACCACTTGGCCACACAGCAACCATTACAGGACGGCCAGGTCGTGGCAGGACTTGGAGCGAACCTTCAGCGCCATCTTCTTGTTGTTCTTGGCAACCAGGCGGTCGAGGAAGCGGCGGGCCTTCTTGGTGAGGCTCTCCTTGCGCTTGTAGACGGAGCGCCGGCGTTCGTTGGTCTCCTTGCTGTCTCGCCGCAGGCGGATCTGCCGGACGATGCCCTCGAAGAGCTCGTGGACGTTGTGGTGGAGCGAAGCAGATGTCTCGATGAACTTGCAGTCGAACACCACGGCACATGCACGGCCCTCTGGGAGAGAGCAGAGCACAGAGGAAGAAGAGGTCATACGTGAGGTGTTTACGTTTGAGAGGTCTACGTTTGATTCATGTCTTTATTGGTCAGGGATCAGGTGAAACTCATAACATAAATAAATTTGATACATTGCACCAGAATTAGCACAAGCTTATTCTCATCTGCAGAACAGGTTAAATATCAAAATATTGACCAAATCATCAAGAATTACGGTGACATTGTAAAATACAGTGTTAGTGTATGAGATGTATGCTGTAAATCCAACTCATGGAATGTTAAGGGAACAGTCCACAGTATGTCGTGTGGACTGCAACATTTGATATAAATTATGATCATATTCTGTAGTTGTAACTTTTGCTTGTTTGACTATGAAGTCCACAGAAAGTGCAGCACAGACTATTGTATGCCAAACTGTATTAGTCTCTTAAAAGCAGAGTGCTGCTCATATTGCTTAAATGGCTCTCATCAAGTCACTGTTCAGAAGGTGTGGAGAGATGCTTTAATTATGACATTATCATTAGAATCAACGTTACCTTCTACAGCCACTTCTCTGGAACGGACCAGGTCACTTTTGTTGCCCACGAGGATGATGGGAATGTTCTCGGCTTGCCGTATGCGCCGCAGCTGGATGCGTAACTCAGAGGCACTCTCGAAGCTGGTACGGTCTGTGATGGAGTAAACTATGACGTAGGCATTGCCCACCTGCATACAGTAGTCCTGGACCCATTCCTCATCCTCCTCCTGAAAGACACAGACGAAGACATAGTTCAGAGAGAAGTTCAACATTCACCAACAACAGCCATATTTGGGAGCTCGTCCGGGATCTGGACTTTTATAGCACCTTTCTTTCTAAGAGTGTATAAGTAGAAGGGCAATTCCATGGTAACAGAGTGACACTGAGACTCAGATTTTTCTACTTTAAAATGTATGTTGAACAAAAAACAATGATTGCAAAGTTAAACAAACCATACAACTCTATGCACAAGGACTACTTTTAACAATTTCCACTGAAAATGTGGTGCTAGTTTATAGACGGGTTGGTTGTTTAGCAACAAAACCAACGCGTACGCAACTATGGGGCAAAATAAACAGGGTTGGCTTTGTTGTGGAAGTTCTACACAGGGACACCCGAAGTCAATATTAAATTAATCATCCTTTATTATCAGCATGCTGGAGAGGTTCCAACCAACTCAATGCACCATGTACACATGTCGATCAGGAGCTCTCCCGGAGCATTCCCGTTTAGTTCTCTTATATACTGCAGACAAGTCATATTTGCATGATTTAGCTTATTCATCATTCATAATTAATTCATCATTAACATTTGATTCATTCATGTGACCGACCAATACTGGGTCATGCATGTGACAGACCAATACCTCAAGAGGCTTCTTCTCTAAGCTGAGACCTTGAAACTGAGATATCTTTCATTCTCAAAACAAGGGTCTTGGCGTACTGCCACATTGCAGATACTGATAGTGAGGATTCGTTCAGTCACTTGCAGGAACACAGAAATTGGTTATTAGAAAAGCACATTAATAGAACACAGAAATTGGTTATTAGAAAAGCACAAACATAAAAATATCCATCACAGCTTAGATTGTTGACAACATGTAAGCTATATTTTGTCTACAATGTTTATTGAAAACATAAATATATTTGCAGAATGAGCAAAGCCATATTAGCATTCATATGAAATCAGTCAAAACACCTCAAAACAAGACATGGTATCAACAACAAGATAAAACGAGCTGAAATGAGCCACTTACGATTCCTTACGATTCCCCACATTCTTGCTAGAAATCTGACAATCCAGAATCAATCAATCAATCAATTTTATTTTATATAGCCCTTCGTACATCAGCTAATATCTCGAAGTGCTGTACAGAAACCCAGCCTAAAACCCCAAACAGCTAGTAATGCAGGTGTAGAAGCACGGTGGCTAGGAAAAACTCCCTAGAAAGGCCAAAACCTAGGAAGAAACCTAGAGAGGAACCAGGCTATGAGGGGTGGCCAGTCCTCTTCTGGCTGTGCCGGGTGGAGGTTATAACAGAACCATGCCAAGATGTTCAAAAATGTTCATAAGTGACAAGCATGGTCAAATAATAATCAGGAATAAATCTCAGTTGGCTTTTCATAGCCGATCATTAAGAGTTGAAAACAGCAGGTCTGGGACAGGTAGGGGTTCCATAACCGCAGGCAGAACAGTTGAAACTGGAATAGCAGCAAGGCCAGGCGGACTGGGGACAGCAAGGAGTCACCACGGCCGGTAGTCCCGACGTATGGTCCTAGGGCTCAGGTCTCTCAGTTGGCTTTTCATAGCCGATCATTAAGAGTTGAAAACAGCAGGTCTGGGACAGGTAGGGGTTTCGTAACCGCAGGCAGAACAGTTGAAACTGGAATAGCAGCAAGGCCAGGCGGACTGGGGACAGCAAGGTGTCAGCATGCCCGGTAGTCCTGACGTATGGTCCTAGGGCTCAGGTTCTCAGAGAGAAAGAGAGAACGAGAGAATTAGAGAGAGCATACTTAAATTCACACAGGACACTGGATAAGACAGGAGAAGTACTCCAGGTATAACCAACTAACCCCAGCCCCCCGACACATAAACTACTGCAGCATAAATACTGGAGGCTGAGACAGGAGCGGTCCGGAGACACTGTGGCCCCATCCGAAGAAACCCCCGGACAGGGCCAAACAGGAAGGATATAACCCCACCCACTCTGCCAAAGCACAGCCCCCGCACCACTAGAGGGATATCCTCAACCACCAACTTACAATCCTGAGACAAGGCCGAGTATAGCCCACAGAGGTCTCCACCACAGCACAAACCAAGGGGGGGCGCCAACCCAGACAGGAAGATCACGTCAGTAACTCAACCCACTCAAGTGACGCACCCCTCCTAGGGACGGCATGAAAGAGCACCAGCAAGCCAGTGACTCAGCCCCTGTAACAGGGTTAGAGGCAGAGAACCCCAGTGGAGAGAGGGGAACCGGCCTGGCAGAGATAGCAAGGGCTGTTCGTTGCTCCAGAGCCTTTCCGTTCACCTTCACACTCCTGGGCCAGACTACACTCAATCATATGACCTACTGAAGAGATAAGTCTTCAGTAAAGACTTAAAGGTTGAGACCGAGTCTGCGTCTCTCACATGGGTAGGCAGACTGTTCCATAAAAATGGAGATCTATAGGAGAAAGCCCTGCCTCCCGCTGTTTGCTTAGAAATTCTAGGGACAATTAGGAGGCCTGCGTCTTGTGACCGTAGCGTACGTATTGGTATGTACGGCAGGACCAACTCGGAAAGATAGGTAGGAGCAAGCCCATGTAACGCTTTATAGGTTAACAGTAAAACCTTGAAATCAGCCCTTGCCTTAACAGGAAGCCAGTGTAGGGAAGCTAGCACTGGAGTAATATGATCAAATTTCTTGGTTCTAGTCAGGATTCTAGCAGCCGTATTTAGCACTAACTGAAGTTTATTTAGTGCTTTATCCGGGTAGCCGGAAAGTAGAGCATTGCAGTAGTCTAACCTAGAAGTAACAAATGCATGGATTAATTTTTCTGCATCATTTTTGGACAGAAAATTTCTGATTTTTGCAATGTTACGTAGATGGAAAAAAGCTGTCCTTGAAACAGTCTTGATATGTTCGTCAAAAGAGAGATCAGGGTCAAGAGTAACGCCGAGGTCCTTCACAGTTTTATTTGAGACGACTTTACAACCATCAAGATGAATTGTCAGATTTAACAGAAGATCTCTTTGTTTCTTGGGACCTAGAACAAGCATCTCTGTTTTGTCCGAGTTTAAAAGTAGAAAGTTTTCAGCCATCCACTTCCTTATGTCTGAAACACAGGCTTCTAGCGAGGGCAATTTTGGGGCTTCACCATGTTTCATTGAAATGTACAGCTGTGTGTCATCCGCATAGCAGTGAAAGTTAACATTATGTTTTCGAATAACATCCCCAAGAGGTAAAATATATAGTGAAAACAATAGTGGTCCTAAAACGGAACCTTGAGGAACACCGAAATGTACAGTTGATTTGTCGGAGGACAGACCATTCACAGAGACAAACTGATATCTTTCCGACAGGTAAGATCTAAACCAGGCCAGAACTTGTCCGTGTAGACCAATTTGGGTTTCCAGTCTCTCCAAAAGAATGTGGTGATCGATGGTGTCAAAGGCAGCACTAAGGTCTAGTAGCACGAGGACAGATGCAGAGCCTCGGTCTGACGCCATTAAAAGGTCATTTACCACCTTCACAAGTGCAGTCTCAGTGCTATGATGGGGTCTAAAACCAGACTGAAGCATTTCGTATACATTGTTTGTCTTCAGAAAGGCAGTGAGTTGCTGCGCAACAGCTTTTTCTAAAATTTTTGAGAGGAATGGAAGATTCGATATAGGCCGATAGTTTTTTATATTTTCCGGGTCAAGGTTTGGCTTTTTCAAGAGAGGCTTTATCACTGCCACTTTTAGTGAGTTTGGTACACATCCGGTGGATAGAGAGCTGTTTATTATGTTCAACATAGGAGGGCCAAGCACAGGAAGCAGCTCCTTCAGCAGTTTAGTAGGAATAGGATCCAGTATGCAGCTTGAAGGTTTAGAGGCCATGATTATTTTCATCATTGTGTCAAGAGATATAGTACTAAAACACTTAAGTGTCTCTCCCGATCCCAGGCCCTCGCAGAGCTGTGCAGATCCAGGACAGCTAAGCCCTGGAGGAATACGCAGATTCAAAGAGGAGTCCGTAATTTGCTTTCTAATGGTCATGATCTTTTCCTCAAAGAAGTTCATGAATTTATTACTGCTGAAGTGAAAGCCATCCTCTCTTGGGGAATGCTGCTTTTTAGTTAGCTTTGCAACAGTATCAAAAAGAAATTTTGGATTGTTCTTATTTTCCTCGATTAAGTTGGAAAAGTAGGATGATCGAGCAGCAGTGAGGGCTCTTCGGTACTGCACGGTACTGTCTTTCCAAGCTAGTCGGAAGACTTCCAGTTTGGTGTGGCGCCATTTCCGTTCCAATTTCCTGGAAGCTTGCTTCAAAGCTCGGGTATTTTCTGTATACCAGGGAGCTAGTTTCTTATGACAAATGTTTTTCGTTTTTAGGGGTGCAACTGCATCTAGGGTATTGCGCAAGGTTAAATTGAGTTCCTCAGTTAAGTGGTTAACTGATTTTTGTCCTCTGACGTCCTTGGGTAGGCAGAAGGAGTCTGGAAGGGCATCAAGGAATTTTTGTGTTGTCTGAGAATTTATAGCACGACTTTTGATGCTCCTTGGTTGGGGTCTGAGCAGATTATTTGTTGCGATTGCAAACGTAATAAAATGGTGGTCCGATAGTCCAGGATTTTGTGGAAAAACATTAAGATCTACAACATTTATTCCATGGGACAAAACTAGGTCCAGAGTATGACTGTGGCAGTGAGTAGGTCCAGAGACATGTTGGACAAAACCCACTGAGTCGATGATGGCTCCGAAAGACTTTTGGAGTGGGTCTGTGGACTTCTCCATGTGAATATTAAAATCACCAAAAATTAGAATATGATCTGCTATGACTACAAGGTCTGATAGGAATTCAGGAAACTCAGAGAGGAACGCTGTATATGGCCCAGGAGGCCTGTAAACAGTAGCTATAAAAAGTGATTGAGTAGGCTGCATAGATTTCATGACTAGAAGCTCAAAAGACGAAAACGCCATTTTTTTTTTTGTAAATTGAAATTTGCTATCGTAAATGTTAGCAACACCTCCGCCTTTGCGGGATGCACGGGGAATATGGTCACTAGTGTAACCAGGAGGTGAGGCCTCATTTAACACAGCAAATTCATCAGGCTTAAGCCATGTTTCAGTCAGGCCAATCACATCAAGATTATGATCAGTGATTAGTTCATTGACTATGACTGCCTTTGAAGTGAGGGATCTAACATTAAGTAACCCTATTTTGAGATGTGAGGTATCACGATCTCTTTCAATAATGGCAGGAATGGAGGAGGTCTTTATCCTAATAAGATTGCTAAGGCGAACACCGCCATGTTTAGTTTTGCCCAACCTAGGTCGAGGCACAGACACAGTCTCAATGGGTATGGCTGAGCTGACTACACTGACTATGCTATTGGCAGACTCCACTAAGCTGGCAGGTTGGCTAACAGCCTGCTGCCTGGCCTGCACCCTATTTCACTGTGGGGCTAGAGGAGTTAGAGCCCTATCTATGTTGGTAGATAAGATGAGAGCACCCCTCCAGCTAGGATGGAGTCCGTCACTCCTCAGCAGGTCAGGCTTGGTCCTGTTTGTGGGTGAGTCCCAGAAAGAGGGCCAATTATCTACAAATTCTATCTTTTGGGAGGGGCAGAAAACAGTTTTCAACCAGCGATTGAGTGCTGAGACTCTGCTGTAGAGCTCGTCACTCCCCCTATCTGGGAGGGGGCCAGAGACAATTACTCGATGCCGACACATCTTTCTAGCTGATTTACACGCTGAAGCTATGTTGCACTTGGTGACCTCTGACTGTTTCATCCTAACATCGTTGGTGCCGACGTGGATAACAATATCTCTATACTCTCTACACTCGCCAGTTTTAGCTTTAGCCAGCACCATCTTTAGATTAGCCTTAACGTCGGTAGCCCTGCCCCCTGGTAAACAGTGTATGATCGCTGGGTGATTCGTTTTAAGTCTAATACTGCGGGTAATGGAGTCGCCAATGACTAGGGTTTTCAATTTGTCAGAGCTAATGGTGGGAGCCTTCGGCGTCTCAGACCCCGTAACGGGAGGAGTAGAGACAAGAGAAGACTCAGACTCAGACTCCGACTCGCTACATAATGGGGAAAACCGGTTGAAAGTTTCTGTCGGCTGAATGAGCGACACCGGTTGAGCATTCCGACAGTATTTCCCTCCAGAAGCCATGAGAAAGTTGTCCGGCTGCGGGGACTGTGCGGGGGGATTTATACTAACGTTACTATCTGTACTTACTGGTGGCACAGACGCTGTTTCTTCCTTTCCTACACTGAAATTACCCTTGCCTAACGATTGCGTCTGAAGCTGGGCTTGTAGCACAGCTATTCTCGCCGTAAGGCGATCGTTCTCCTGTATATTATGAGTACAGCGACTGCAATTAGAAGACATCATGTTAATGTTACTACTTAGCTTCGGCTGTTGAAGATGTTGACGAACCATGTCCAGATAAAGCGTCCGGAGTGAAAAAGTTGAATGAGGGAAAAAAGTTGCGATGGAAAAAAGAAAAATAAAGTAAAGTTGGCAGCAAAAACGCACAGGAAAATGACTCTTCTGTCTCGGGACATTCACTCCTTGGAGGAGAGCGCGCTTTTTCCCAGAATCACCCAGAATCACAACAACACGCTGACTTCTACCCCATGGAAGCACGCACATCGTTTTCGTGACGTTGTCAACTAACCCATCTATAGAATGCCCTGTAAATGGTCCTTCCTAGCACAATCTATAAATGGTTCTAGCAAGAACCCTTTTATAATCAAAAGGTTCTTCCTAGATGGGTTCTACCGAGAACCGTTTTATCTTTGAAGGGTTCTTCCCAGAACCCTCTATGAACGGTTCCACCAGGTTTATTAGCCTTGAACTCTTTATGACAATACATTACATACATCATAAGGCCTTTCTTTGAGAGCCTAGTTATAGCCTAACACAGTGGTGTTAGGAAACTCCTGGTTTACGACCCACATCAGGCCTGCAAGTCACATTATGCTGGCATGCAAAGTGATGTGTAATTCCTATTGGAATCCAGCCAGAGTGAGGATATCCAACAACTTTTAATCAACTGCAACCTGCATTCAGAATGACTGCCAGGGTAGGGAAGATTGATAAATGAGATGACCTAAATCATCTAAACTGGAATTACTATCTCAGTAACGGCTGCAATAAGTCCAACTACTAACATATTGGATTAGTTTGTGTAGCATAAGAGTAATTAACTAATCAATATACATGCAAAAACACAGATATTGAAACAATTCTAAAAATCAACCTGCAATAGTGCATGCTGAGAAATGGTTATGATGGGCATGGTTTTGAGTTTTCCCATATAGGTACAGTTTAAGACATTCTCACACCTCTTTTTAAACTGATCAGATTACTCAAACTCCTGTTGTTAAACGTTAAACACTGAGATAAACACTAATGCTCAGGCACTATTTAAAAGAAAGGCAAAAATTACAATATAAAACGTATGATTCAGAGGGTTCTATGCAATGTTGTGCTGCTATTTTTATTTACTTGGCCAAAGCTTTTGATACGGTAGACCATTCCATTCTTTTGGGTCGGCTAAGGAGTATTGGTGTCTCTGAGGGGTCTTTGGCCTGGTTTGCTAACTACCTCTCTCAAAGAGTGCAATGTGTAAAGTTAGAACATCTGCTGTCTCAGCCACTGGCTTTCACCAAGGGAGTACCCCAAGGCTCGATCCTAGGCCCCACGCTCTTCTCAATTTACATCAACAACATAGCTCAGGCAGTAGGAAGCTCTCTCATCTATTTATATATAGATGATACAGTCTTATACTCAGCTGGACCCTCCCCGGATTTGGTGTTAAACGCTCTACAACAAAGCTTTCTTAGTGTCCAACAAGCTTTTTCTGCCCTTAACCTTGTTCCGAACACCTCCAAAACAAAGGTCATGTAGTTTGGTGAGAAGAATGACCCCCCCTCTGAGGGTTTAGAGCTTGAGGTAGTCACCTCACATAAGTATGGCTAGATGGTAAACTGTCCTTCTCTCAGCACATATCCAAGCTGCAGGCAAAGGTTAAATCTGGACTTGGTTTCCTCTATCGTAAATGCTCCTCTTTCACCCCAGCTGCCAAACTAACCCTGATTAAGGTGACCATCCTACCCATGCTAGATTACGGAGACGTAATTTATAGATCGGCAATAAAGGGTGCTCTCGAGCGGCTAGATGTTCTTTACCATTCTACCATCAGATTTGCCACCAATGCTCCTTACAGGACACATCACTGCATGCTATACTCCTCTGTAAACTGGCCATCTCTGTACACCCGACGCAATACCCACTGGTTGATGCTTATTTATAAAACCCTCTTAGGCCTCACTTTCCCCTATCTGAGATACATACTGCAACCCTCATCCTCCACATACAACACCTGTTATGCCAGTCACATTCTGTTCAAGGTCCCCAAAGCACACACATCCCTGGGTCGCTCCTCTTTTCAGTTCACTGCAGCTAGCGACTGGAACGAGCTGCAAAAAACACCCAAACTTGACCGTTTTAACTCCAGCTCTACATTCAAAGACTCAATCATGGACACTCTTACTGACACTTGTTGCTGCTTCACGTGATGTATTGTTGTTTCTACCTTTATGCCCTTCGGGCCATGTTTGTGCTGCTACCATGTTGTGCTGCTGCCATGTTGTGTTGCTACTGTGTTGTTGTCATGTTGTGTTGCTACCATGCTGTGTTGTCATGTGTTGTTGTCTTAGGTCGCTATGTAGTGTTGTGGTGTCTCTCTTGTCGTGATGTGTATTTTGTCTAATCCCAGCCCCGTCCCCACAGGAGGCCTTTTGCCTCTTGGTAGGCAGTCATTGTAAATAAGAATTTGTTCTTAATTGACTTGCCTAGTTAAATAAAAGGTTAAATAAAATAAATAAATGTAAAACCCTTCTTGCCTTCCAAAGAATCTGTTTTGCCTTCCAAAGAATCATCAAAGAACCCTTTCTTCCAAAAACGGTTCATAGATGAAAAAGGTTTAACTCTTTGCCTCACAAAGAACCCTTTTGGAACCCTTTTTTCTAAGAGTGTAGCATGTGTTCTCTGTTATAATCATTGAAGCCAACTTTGATGTCGAAAATGCACTCATGCATTCAAAAGATAATTGAGATAAGTGATGGTCAACATTAAGTTTTAATTTCGTTATTCGAAAAGGGAATAAGCTAATTGTGATGGCCCCAAGTGGATTTCTATGTATTTGTGAACACAGAACTCTGGTCCCCAGGTACGGTCATTGGTCAGACATACATCTATCTGACTTTCTGCCTCTAGTGACACTTGGTGCCCTTCAACGCATTCAATCCACTGTCCTTATAGACATCCTTATGTCCCTATATCTCCTCTAACCCAGTACAAACAAGTCAACACGTGGCTTGGCCTGCACGCTTCACTCCCCAGCTGTAATCAATACTGGAGTAATTAGGCCCCACAGCCATCGGTGTCCCATACAGATGCTCGCCTCATGCCACTGGAGCCACCACTCACTGACTCCAGCACAGCCAGGATTCGCCCCACTTCAGCTCGACTCAATGGAGTTTAGCTACAGGCACACAGTGCAAGCACATATATTTTTCCACAAAACCGAGGGAGGGGCAGGGTCGCCTCTAGATATCATAGTTGTTTTGAAGTAAATAGAATAGAGCCTTATGGTTCAGTTAGCACAAGCTGATTTGTTTCTTTGCACTACCTCAGTGTTTGTGTTCTCAAGTGACACCGAGTAAGATTAAGTTATATGAATTAGAAAGCTTGCACCCCTTTTTCTTTTTGAAATGAGTCTTGATGGGAGAGGATATCATATTCTCCTCTACTGTGCGATCCATTTCTTGTGATAAAGATGTTGAGGTTGAGGGTTAGTGTTGTGTCATACCTGTTTCTCGTTCTCCCAGCTGTCCATGACGATGAGGGTAGTCTCCTCCCCATCTACAGTCATGGTTTTCTCATAGGTTTCCTCTAAACAAACAAAAAACAAGGAAAGAGATTAGAAAATATCTTATTTCATACTGTACCTCAATAACGTTGGAAAACATTCTAAAAGGGAGTCTAGACATTGCAGCATAGGGTAAAAATATAAATACAACTTGTTTTATTCTTGTAGATAAAGAAAGGATTACGTATAATTTATGTCACCTCCTTCAAACATGTCTACTATTGGTTGCAGCTAGCAGGTGTGATGTAATGTTAGGATATCTCTCTCTAAATATAGGCTTGTTCTTTGTGAATGGATACCTGATGGAGACCTAAGGTTCGAAACCTTGTAGACTGCTGTCAATAAACCACATGGGAGCATAGATTTCAGTGTGCAGAATCTCTTTTTTTGTTATGCTGAGTCACTTATGCCATGTCCATTTTAAGCTTTTGACTTTAGTAACAAAAATATGGAGGTGTTTTACAAATGTGGTTATATATAATTGACATCAAACAAGAACTCTTGACATCCAAGAACTCTACAGTTGTGTTTATCCCTACTACCGTTCAAGTGTGCTATAGAGTTATTACACTTTCACTACCATATCATCATGACCATGGAATCTAAGCCGTGGAAAAAAGCATTGAGCCATGTCTAGTTTAGTCTGATTAGATCCTCCTTGCCATTGTGACAGCGAGACTAAAACACACTTTGGCCAAGAGTGAAATAACTTGTTACAATAAGTGTAGAGTTGAAAGGAAAATGTAAAAGCTGCTGCACAAGACAAGGACAAATGGTCCGGCAAAGCCTTGAAAAGTTGAGTCTAGGTCTTTGAGTTGAAGTGACAATGTAGGTTTTTGATTTTATTTTATTAGGATCCCCATTAGCCGACGCCAATGGTGACAGCTAGTCTTACTAGGGTCCAACACATAACGAAAAATACCTTACAGACAAAAGACTTTACAATTTACATACATTTAAAAACATTAACATGTAGTGTGTGCATGTGTTTGCATCTACAGTTGAAGTCGGAGGTTTACATACACTTAGGTTGGAGTCATTAAAACTTGTTTTTCAACCACTCCACAAATTTCTTGTTAACAAACTATAGTTTTGGCAAGTCGGTTAGGACATCTACTTTGTGCATGACACAAGTAATTTTTCCAACAATTGTTTACAGACAGATTATTTCGCTTATAATTCACTGTATCACAATTCCAGTGGGTCAGAAGTTTACATACACTAAGTTGACTGTGCCTTTAAACAGCTTGGAATATTCCAGAAAATGATGTCATGGCTTCAGAAGCTTCTGATAGGCTAATTGACATCATTTGAGTCACTTCCCGAGTGGCGCAGTGGTCTAAGGCACTGCATCGCAGTGCTAGCTGTGCCACACTGTCGTAGCCGGCCGCGACCGGGGGACCCATGGGGCGGCGCACAATTGGCCCAGCGTTGTCCAGGGTAGGGGAGGGAATGGTCGGCAGGGATGTAGCTCAGTTGGTAGAGCATGGCGTTTGCAACGCCAGGGTTGTGGGTTCGATTCCCACGGGGGGCCAGTATGAAAAATAAAAATTATGTATGCACTCACTAACTGTAAGTCGCTCTGGATAAGAGCGTCTGCTAAATGACTAAAATGTACATGTAAATTGGAGGTGTACCTGTGGATGTATTTCAAGGCCTACCTTTAAACTCAGTGCCTCTTTGCTTGACATCATGGGAAAATCAAAAGAAATCAGCCAAGACCTCAGAATAAAAATTGTAGACCTCCACAAGTCTGGTTCATCCTTGGGAGCAATTTCCAAACGCCTAAAGGTACCACGTTCATCTGTAAAAACAATAGTACGCAAGTATAAACACCATGGGACCACGCAGCCGTCATACCGCTCAGGAAGGAGACGCGTTCTGTCTCCTACAGATGAACGTACTTTGGTTGAAAAGTTGTGAAGATGCAGGTACAAAAGTATCTATATCCACAGTAAAACAAGTCCTATATCGACATAACCTGAAAGGCCGCTCAGCAAGGAAGAAGCGACTGCTCCAAAACCGCCATAAAAAAAGCCAGACTACGGTTTGCAACTGCACATGGGGACAAAGAGCGTACTTATTGGAGAAATGTCCTCTGGTCTGATGAAACAAAAATAGAACTGTTTGGCCATAATGACCATCGTTATGTTTGGAGGAAAAAGGGGGGTCTTGCAAGCCAAAGAACACCATCCCAACCGTGAAGCACAGGGGTGGCAGCATCATGCTGTGGGGGTTCTTTGCTGCAGGAGGAACTGGTGCACTTCACAAAATAGATGGCATCATGAGGAAGGAAAATTATGTGGATATATTGAAGCAACATCTCAAGACTTCAGTCAGGAAGTTAAAGCTTGGTCGCAAATGGGTCTTCCAAATGGACAATGACCCCAAGCATACTTGCAAAATGGCTTATGGACAACAAAGTCAAGGTATTGGAGTGGCCATCACAAAGCCCTGACCTCAATCCTACAGAAAATGTGTGGGCAGAACTGAAAAAGCGTGTGCGAGCAAGGAGGCCTACAAACCTGACTCAGTTACACCAGCTCTATCAGGAGGAATGGGCCAAAATTCACCGAACTTATTGTGGGAAGCTTGTGGAAGGCTACCCGAAACGTTTGACCCAAGTTAAACAATTTAAAGGCAACGCTACCAAATACTAATTGAGTGTAAGTAAACTTCTGACCCACTGGGAATGTGATGAAAGAAATAAAAGCTGAAATAAATCACTCTCTGCTATTATTCTGACATTTCACATTCTTAAAATAAAAAGTGGTGATCCTAACTGACCTAAGACAGGACATTTTTACTAGGATTAAATGTCAGGAATTGTGAAAAACTGAGTTTAAATGTGGCTAAGGTGTATGTAAACTTCCAACTTCAACTGTATGTATTCACCCCCTTTGTTACGAAGTCCCTAAATAAGATCTTGTGCAACCAATTACCTTCAGAAGTCACATAATTAGTTAAATAAAGTCCACCTGTGTGCAGTCTAAGTGTCACATGATCTCAGTATATATACACCTGTTCTGAAAGGCCCCAGAGTCTGCAACACCACTAAGCAAGGGGCACCACCAAGCAAGCGGCACCATGAAGACCAAGGAGCTCTCCAAACAGGTCAGGGACAAAGTTGTGGAGAAGTACAGATCAGGGTTGGGTTATAAAAAAATAACCGAAACTTTGAACATCCCACGGAGCACCATTTAAATCCATTATTAACAAATGGAAAGAATATAGCACCAAAACAAACCTGCCAAGAGAGGGCCGCCAACCAAAACTCACGGACCAGGCAAGGAGGGCATTAATCAGACAGGCAACAAAGAGACCAAAGATAACCCTGAAGGAGGTGCAAAGCTCCACAGTGGAGATTGGAGTATCTGTCCATAGGTCCACTTTAAGCCATACACTCCACAGAGCTGGGCTTTACGGAAGAGTAGCCAGAAAAAAGCCATTACTTAAAGAAAAAAATAAGCAAACACATTTGGTGTTTGCCAAAAGGCATGTGGGAGACTCCCCAAACATATGGAAGAAGGTACTCTGGTCAGATGAGACTAAAATTGAGCTTTTTGGCCAGCAAGGAAAACGCTATGTCTGGCGCAAACCCAACACCTCCCATCACCCCGAGATCACCATCCCCACAGTGAAGCATGGTGGTGGCAGCATCATGCTGTGGGGATGTTTTTCCATCGGCAGGGACTGGGAAACTGGTCAGAATTGAAGGAATGATGGATGGTGCTAAATACAGGGAAAGTGTTGAGGGAAACCCGTTTCAGTCTTCCAGAGATTTGAGACTGGGACGGAGGTTCACCTTCCAGCAGGACAATGACCCTAAGCATACTGCTAAAGCATCACTTGAGTGGTTTAAGGGGAAACATTTAAATGTCTTGGAATGGCCTAGTCAAAGCCCAGACCTCAATCCAATTGAGAATCTGTGGTAGGACTTAAAGATTGCTGTACACCAGCGGAACCCATCCAACTTGAAGGAGCTGGAGCAGTTTCGCCTTGATGAATGGGCAAAAATCCCAGTGGCTAGATGTGCCATGCTTATAGAGACATACCCCAAGAGACTTGCAGCTGTAATTGCTGCAAAAGGTGGCTCTACAAAGTATTGACTTTGGGGGGGTGAATAGTTATGCACGCTCAATTTTTATTTTTCACAATTTTTTTTATTTTGCATCTTCAAAGTGGTAGGCATGTTGTGTAAATCAAATGATACAAATCCCCCCAAAATCTATTTTCATTCCAGGTTGTAAGGCAACAAAATAGGAAAAATGCCGAGGGGGTGAATACTGTCGCAAGCCACTGTACATGTCAGTACATACACACAAAAAGTCTCGAGGGAGAGGTGTTGTGCCGTGAGGTGTTGTTTTTTTATTTTTGTTGAAACCAGGTGTGCTGTTCACTTGACCTATATGAGATGGAAGGGAGTTCCTTGCAATCATGGCTCTGTATAATACTGTAAGTTTCCTTGAATTTGTTCTGGATCTGGGTACTGTGAAGGTCAGAACCTGTAAACAAGCAAACAAGTGATATGCCTACAATGGAATGTGTTGTAATGTCCTCGTAATGCTGTTCTTTCCTCATAAAACACTTGCCATTCACCACACCAGCTCTAAACCAACCAAGGAGTCCACTAAGAAGAACAGTTTAGTTGCTGTCAGTCAAGCAAAGTGACACAAAACTAAAAACAACATTACCAGTCAGTGACAAGCTGAAAACAGGACAGCTATACACTTTTTCCTGATGATGTCAGAGGGACGTCTCATGAGGAGAGACATTATCTTTCTGGAGAGCTAGGAGCTGACACACACACACATTTTTTACATTTACATTTTAGTCATTTAGCAGACGCTCTTATCCAGAGCGACTTACAGTTAGTGAATACATATCTTTTTATACTGGCCCCCCGTGGGAATCGAACCCACAACCCTGGCGTTGCAAACGCCATGCTCTATCAACTGAGCTACATCCCTGCCGGCCATTCCCTCCCCTACCCTGGACGACGCTGGGCCAATTGTGCGCCGCCCATGAGTCTCCCGGTCGCGGCCGGCTGCGACACACGGCACCCTATTTCCCTGTTTAGAGCACAACTTTTGACCAGGGGCTATAGGGCAACATTCAGCTGGGCTGCCTCACAAATGGAACCCTATTCCCTTTATAGTGCACTATTCTTGACCAGAGATACCCCACTATAAGCGGAATAGGGTGCCATTTGGGGCACATCTTCAGCCATTCACTCCCATCCACGACCATCAGCAGACACGACACACACAAGTCACAACAGCATGAACCTCTCACAAACGAATGAAGCCACTATCTGTGTCTAGGCTACCGTATCAGGCATGACCTAAACGTTTTCATTATTTATTTTGTAAATATTATGACTTTTATCCTATCATAATAAAAACTTTTAGAGAAATTGAGAACTTAAGAGAAATTGTTGTTTCAAAAAGGACAAACTGCACCAATCATCTCACTCAATAGCACAGCTGGATGGCAAAATGCACGGGCCAATACAAGCTGCCAATCAATGCTTTGAGGTCACTCAGTACTACATGTGACAGATACAAGAGTTCAATCAATGTGGTTGTGACAGGTTGGCCAAGGTTATTAGGGCCAGGGCAATGTCAGTGACCATTACTTTGACAGTCTTTGTTGAAGAGATGCATCAATTAATTAACTAATTGAATAACTCATTAGTCATTAGTGTCCATAGATTTTAATTAGCAGATAAGGATGTATGATACTGAATAGTTTTTAGGTTACTGATAAGACATTGAGAAAAAACTACTAAATAGTTGCGTTAATAGGCTACATACCATAAAGAGCCTCATAGTAATCATAATAATTGTGCTTGGTAAAAAACCCACCTCCTGTATGGTCGTGAGCATCCTTCTCCTGTATGCCAGCAAAGATATTGGCAAGACTCGACTTTCCAACACCGTGGTCTCCTAGCAAAACAACGCGGTACAAACAATCTGCTCCCGAGCCATCTGAGTCATTATCCGAGTCATCAGAAGACCAGTTGGCGCGGCAGTGGAGAGACTTGTCTCCGGGATGGTATGAGGCGGACTGGCCGAGCGGAGGGTGATGGGGGTCGGCTGGCGGGTCTCTGCCTCTCGTCCCCGGCTGATGAGAGGCAGGGATAGGAGTACTTGCCCTTCTACGCAAAGTCTCCTTGCCCTCTCTCTGTGTGTGTGTCATCTTAGCGAAAAGGCAAAGAACATCCCTTAAAAAGACGAATATGTAACATAATCAGAAGATAAAGTCATAATTTACTAGGACATAAGAGTTAGGCTCAAGGTTATTATAGTTTTGTGTTTTTATATTCGTTTTTATATCTATTAGTTTTCCGATTTATTTGAAATTCAGTTTAGTTTCAATTTTCACACCTGATTTGCTAGTTGTATAAAAATATTTTGATTTCGTTTATTTTATTTAGTTTCAGTTTTAGTGTTATGGACAGAAAGTATGCGTGGGCCAGGCTAGGAGCCATTTGTGTTGTATAGTTTGTTGTGTGTTTTTTGGGACGTCACCTGCAACTGGGGGGCAGTAATACTTAAGGTGATAGGTTAGGTTAGGTTTACATTATAAAGTCAATCTCAATGTGACTTGGATGTTTTTGTGTGATTAATTATTTTATTTTTTTGTCAATGATTGTATTTATTATTATTTCACTTTTTTATCTCTTTATTTTTAGGTATTCTTTCTTAAAACTGCATTGTTGGTTAAGGGCTTGTAAGTAAGCATTTCACTGTAAGGTCTACACCTGTTGTATTCAGCGCATGTGACAAATAACATTTGATTTGATTTGAAAGGAATAGCGCTGAGACTGATGTCAAAAAATATGGTGGAAGGAGACACTCTCTAGCCCATGTTTACACCAATCCAATGCTTTTTAACTTTAGGAGTACATGTAAGTAGAATCAAGTTAGCTGCTTTTCCCATGTTAGCTAAGGATAGCTAGTGATAGTGATGCACAAGCTAGGCCTTTTTGAAACATCACCACCTCTAAACCACATTTACAATCCGATTCAGTAAGCTTGAAAACCCCATTCGATTTTTGGCCAAAGTTTAGAAAAAAACTAAAACTGGACATAATTCTTGATGTCTTTTATTTTATTTTAGTTAGTTTTGGAGTCAAAGATAATCGTTTAAGTTTAGTTGTAGTTTTTCTAACGGGTTTGTTAATTATTTTATTTCAGTTTACTAAATAGTTTTTTCATGATTAGTTTTCGTTTTCGTTTCAGTTTTCGTTTACTATAATAACGTTGGTTAGGCTAAATAACATAACCAACCCCTATAATAAACCGTTCATAAACAGACACTGCTCCCCGATTAAAGCTAAATTGTGAAACAAACAAAAATGTCACGGCCTATTGAGTGTAAAATAGCACTGAAACATAACATTGTCTGGAATTTACTCACAACTGTAGCCATGAATCTTCTAATTTTGTCCAGTATTCTCCATTGCAGAGCAAAGCACAGACTTCACCATATAGTAAAGTTGTCTCGTGTCGGGGAGCTGTGTGCGAGCTGTCATTCTGTTCTTGTAACAAGGCAAGCTTCCAATGTATCAATCAGTTTTGTTACACTTAGTATAGAATAGCTGATGGGACACTGTAACAGTATACCCCTGGAGTCATGGAAACATCCTGTAAAGTTCGACAAACCTGAAAAAATGTAAGAGTGGAATCAGGGGTCGCTCGCTCTCTCTCCTCTCTTTTTCTATCTCCTCTCTGTCTCCCTCTCCGTATCCCACAAGAAGGCATGCACATGCACACACACAAGGGCAGACACAATGTTTCAAATCACCTCCAGTGATAACATGCACTGAGACGTAGCCATGGTGTAGGCTAATTCAAATAGGCTATTTGGAAAACTCGAACACCACTAACTTTTTGGTCAACACCTAAATAATGTAATGGGGCGGACAATCATTTCAATATCCTATTTTTGCTTTCATAAAACCATAGCTCTTCTTCTAGGAACGCTATTGCACTTCCTGTCCAAAAAGTTGTTGGCTACATGGCGTATGTTAATTAGGCTACTTTAGTTTTCTACCTATGTATACTCACCCGTGCTGTAAATTCCGTTTAACGCATGTAGGCAATGCGCGTTATGGGTGTTTTCAGCAGAGCGTGTCCTTTGATGATGTGCGTGCTTCGAATCAGCCCTCATTCGAGTCCCTCATTACTGCTGGAACTTTTCCCTGTGTGAGTCCACTTTAATCTCATCGAAGAACCCACCCCGACTATATGACGTAAAAGTAACTCACTTCCTGTTCTAAACTGTTCGTTTTCTCTCTGTTTTACCACAGTAATGTTTACCTCCACAGTGCAGATATCTACTGGGGCAGGGTTTCCCAAACTCTGCCGCCCACCCCCCCGGGTGCACGTTTTGGTTTTGGTTTTTGCCTTGGCACTACACAGCTGATTCAAATAATCAAAGCTTGGTGATGAGTTGGTTATTTTAATCAGATGTACTAGGGTGCCTTTAATGATGACACATTGCCCAAGCAGGACAACCACTGCTTTATATAAATATCAATAGAAAATATGGGGACAGGATGTGTCTCGTCCTTACATCCATGTCTGTTTAGATTTGTCAAGTCAAGCCCCAGTGTTGAACCCTTTATAAAGTACAGAAATACATTAAAAGTGAGCCAAGTCTCCATTAAAAGCACTTTTACAAGTATGCTGCATATTTTCAGTTTGAGAAAATCAGTACACACACACATCTGTAAATCAGTTCTGTCCTAACACTGTGAGAGGGCAGAGTTCACACCCCTAGCCGCAGACCAGCGCTCTCTACCAGGAAATTGTATTCTCTGAGGCTCTGCTGAATCTTTTCCAACTGAAACAACATAAGTAATCAGACCAGTCGGCCGTACGATGGCCAGATGAAGGCCCTACACTGTTTATAAAGCCAGTTCTTTCCCACACTTAAGTAAATTACAGTGAGAGACTTCCCAAAACTACCATTACAGGGTCTGAGGAGATTTGTGAAGCAAGTGAGGGTTGGAAGTGGTTACTCTCACTGGGGCACTTACTGTGGAGAGAAAAAGCAAACAATAAACATATTCTAAATATTGAAAATTATTTTCTGTGCACCGGCACATTGAAGAATGTGATAATAGCCAATAATTGAGATTCAACTGGCAATTATAGACCATAAATTATAGCTGAATGAAACCATACCAATAAACACATAAAATGTTCATACACTACATGACCAAAAGTATGTGGGCACCTGCTTGTCAAACATCTCATTCCAAAATCATGGACATTAAATGGAGTTGGTCCCCCCTTTGCTGCTATAACAGCCTCCACTCTTCTGGGAAGGCTTTCCACTAGATGTTGGAACATTGCTGCGGGGACTTGCTTCCATTCAGCCACAAGAGCATTAGTGAGGTTGGGCACTGATGTTGGGCGATTAGTCCTGGCTCGCAGTCGGCGTTCCAATTCATCCCAAAGGTGTTTGATGGGGTTGAGGTCAGGGCTCTGTGCAGGCCAGTCAAGTTCTTCCACACCGATCTTGACAAACCATTTCTGTATGGACCTCACTTTGTGCACAGGGGCATTGTCATGCTGAAACAGGAAAGGGCCTTCCCAAACTGTTGCCACAAAGTTGGAAGCACAGAATCGTCTAGAATGTAATTGTATGCTGTAGCGTTAAGATTTCCCTTCACTGGCCGGAACCATGAAAAACAGCCCCAGACCATTATTCCTCCTCCACCAAACTTTACAGTTGGTACTATGCATTCGGGCAGGTAGCGTTTTCCTGGCATCCGCCAAACCCAGATTCGTCCGTCAGACTGCCAGATGGTGAAGCGTGATTCATCACTCCAGAGAACACGTTTCCACTGCTCCAGAGTCCAATGGCGGCGAGCTTTACACCACTCCAGTTGATGCTTGGCATTGCGTACGGTGATCTTAGACTTATGTGCGGCTGCTCGGCCATGGAAACCCATTTCATGAAGCTCCCGACGAACAGTTCTTGTGCTGACGTTGTTTCCAGAGGCAGTTTGGAACTCGGTAGTGAATGTTGCAACCGAGGACAGACGATTTTTACGCGCTACGCACTTCAGCATGTTCCTTGAGCTTGTGTGGCCTACCACTTCGCGGCTGAGCCGTTGTTGCTCCTAGACGTTTCCACTTCACAATAACAGCACTTACAGTTGACCCGGACAGCTCTAGCAGGACAGAAATTTGACGAACTGACTTGTTGGAAAGGTGGCATCCTATGATGGTGCCACGTTGAAAGTCACTGAGCTCTTCAGTAGGGACATTCTACTGCCAATGTTTGTCTATGGAGATTGCATGGCTGTGTGCTCGATTTTATGCACCTGTTAGCAACGGGTGTGGCTGAAATAGCCAAATCCACTAATTTGAAGGGGTGTCCACATACTTGTATATATAGTGTATGATTCCACTGCAAAAAAAATGAGAATAAATTGTACTTTTTTGAAGTTCCTTTCTCTTTCAAAGAATATGCAAATGGTTTGAACCTGAACCCTGGAGGTATTTATTAGAAAGGTTTACAAAAGTTTATTGGCCCCAGTTGAGCTGTATTAGAATGAGGAACTTGGTTTGAGAAGATGGGCACTCCGTTAGTGTAACAGACATTTTGGGGTTGCGCCAAGAAGAGCCCAACAGGTTTAAATGCAGCCAAGCGACACAAGTCGTGTCTCTCCTAGTCTGTCACACATCTAAATGGGGAGCCGCTCCTCATGAGGGATGTTTAAGGTCACGGTCATTTCCGGGGTGCATCTAGAATGAACACAACACACATTTAAAACCTTACTGCACACTGAGCACGATTTCCTTATTTACATACTTAATATACATTTGGAAATGTTAATTGCTTGTGAAGGTGTAATGCCATAAGGAAGAAAGTATTTTGGTGCCATTATAAAGTGCACTTCAAAAATGAAATCATGATTAAGTATTGGCTATTCTTGGTGGATATTCAATATTTTAGAAACCTACAGTACTGATATAATGTAAAAATTAACATTTCACACAAAATGATACAGTACATGCACATCAGGTGTGTTCTCCTATTTACATCATATGATACATGTACTGTGGGCTAATTCAATTCTGATAATGAAGACCTACATTTTACATCCTAAAACTGGCCCATCTGAGTGATAACAAATGAATGGAAAGTAACATCTCACATTGCCTTAAGTAATTGCA